TCGGCTCCTGCTACCCTCCCCCACCCTCCCTGATCTCTTCTCGTTGCCATGGAAGGGGACTTAGGTACTACACGATTCACAGAGCATCATGGGAAAGAGCCTGGACTCCTGGGTTCCACTCCTGGCCCCATCACTTCCTGGCTGGGTAGCACTGGGCAAAGTAGCCACCCTGCTAAGCCTCAGTTTCCTCACCTGTAAAATGGGCCCAGTAGAGCATGTGTGTGAAGCCCTGGCACAGGGCCGGGTGCGTGAGGGGGCTCAATACCTAGGAGCCGCTGTTATTATGAGGGCAGTGGTGGTTCAGTGGTACAACTACCACCTTCCATACGGGAGACCCAGGTTCGATTCCCGGCCAGCGCACCTCATGTGCAGCCCCCACCGGTCTGTCAGTGGAGGCCTGCGTGTTGCTAGGATGCTGAACAGGTTTCAGCAGAGCTTCCACACTAAGACAGACTAGGAAGAAAGACCTGGCGATTGACTTCTGAAAATCAGTCAACGAAGACCCTATGGATCACAACAGGCCAATCTGCAGCTGATCATGGGGTGGGCACGGGACCGGGCAGCGTTTCATTTCGCTGCGCACAGGGTCACTGAGTCAGGGCCTGACTCAACGGCAGCCAACAATAATGACAACTATTATTATGGGGAAACTGAGGCCCAGAGAGGGCCACCTCCTCCAGGAAGCTCTTCTTGGCTGCTGCCTCTGCCTCTGAGCTGTGTCTTCTGCCCTGTGCTGTAGTTGGCTGTTTCTGCCTGTCTGCCTCGCCTGCCCCAGCCCATGTTCATTAGGGGTAGGGGGCTCGGGGACAGACCTGCTGGCCTCATCAGCAAGGGTGAGGTCCCGGTCGGGCAGGGCGTCCTCCCAGTCCAGGATGGTGTCTCTCAGCGCCCCCCTGCGATGGTGAGGGTGAAAGGAGTCGGCAGGGCTCCCCACCGCCTCCCCGGGGTCCGTGACGCAGGGGTGGGGGGGTCACTCACCTGCAGGCCCGCAGCCCCCGGGCCTTGGCCACAGTGCAGAACCGGCCGGTGGCTTTAAGGCCCATGCTGCCTACAACCGTGTCCCGGATGTACTGCCTGTGCAAGGGAGGGGGGACATGGGGCCGTCACCGAAGCCGCCCACCTGCCTGGGAGACCCACCCTTTGCTCCCTTTCCGGAGATGTTCTCCCAGGGGAGCCGGGGCCACACAACCAGAATCTCGGCTGGAGGGAACTTCTGGCAATCCCAGAACGAGGGACCTGCCACGGAATAACTGGGCTGGACGTTTCCGTGGCCATGTCACGGCGAGCAAAGGAAGGTGGGAAAGTGCCAGACAGGAGATTAAGGAGACTGGGCGGTGCCGTGCAAAGCCTGTCCCTGGCTGAGTGCTGGGGTAGGATAAGGAGCTAGCTATAAGGGGAGCACTGTCGGCAAAATGTGACCTGGGCAGCGAATCGGTGTTCCCTGATTTTAGTAACTGTAATGCGGGTATAAGGGTCACTGGGGGAGCAACAGTTAAGCACTCGTCTGCTAGCTCAAAGGTTGGTGGTTTGAACCCACCCAGTAGCTCCGCAGGAGAAAGACCTGATAATCTGCTCCTGTCAAGACTGCAGCCTAGAAAGCCCTATGGGGCAGTTCTACTCTGTCACATGGGGTCACTATGAGTCGGAATCAACTTGACGACACTCAGCAATAACAACAATGGGGTTATGGGGGAGAATATTTTAGCTCACAGGAGATACACTCTCAAGGGTTTAGGGGCAAGGGTCATGAAGTCTGCAACTTACTCTTCAGTGGCTCAGCAGATACTCTTCACAGAGAGAAGAAAACCAATTGTGGCAAAATGCTAACAGTTGGTGAACTTAGGTCAGGGGCTGGCAAACTATGGCCTGGGGCCACATCGGCCCCCCGCCTGTGTTTTGTAAATAAAGTTTTATTGACACACAGCCACATCCATTCCTTTACATATTGCCTGACTGCTCTTAAGCTACAAGGGCAGAGTTGAGTAGAGTTGAGTGGTCTGGACAGAGACCACCGGCCCACAGAGCTGAAGGCAATGACTCTCTGGCCCTTTACAGAAACCGACCGCTGACCCCTGCCCTAGGTGAAGGGGTTCAGAGTCCATCGTAAGGTTTTTGTAACTTTTTAAAAATAGATTTGAAAATTTCCAAAATAAACGTGGAGGAAAAATACTTTTAAAAAGTGGGGACCCCCCCCATCTAAGATGCATCAATTGGTCCCAACCACCTGGAGTAAAGGAGAATGAAGAACACCAAAGACACAAGGAAAGTATTAGCCCAGGAGACAGAAAGG